TGCTTAACTGTAATAAATAAAAAAGAACACAGAAAATAAGACATTATTAAGGCGTGGAGTTTACATGCAGAGAGTAAAACCTGAAATAGCATATTTGGTCAGTCCGGCCAAAAATGAAGCACATAAGAATCTAAAGGTTTCACTGGATATTTCCAGTAATTCCCAACAGAACATTTTTTCTTTTTACAGGTATAGATAAGGCCTCAGTCTCAGTGTATGTGCAATGCATGCAGCTACGGAACAAAACGCCATAAATTGGTCTCCCTGGGAATAGGATGCAGTGTTTGCAAGGCCAAATAAAAAGTAAGCTCTTTTATATAAATACACCTGGTAAAAACAAAAAAAAAAAAAAAAAACAAACACACACACACACTTGAATGGTGATCATTATTACAACAGGTCTAAGTTTAATTAGCCAGCCTTGAGAATGACAGCTTTAAGGCTCAGATACACAATAGATCCATATGCCAAGACATGGGATAAGGATCAATTCCAACCACATCCACAGTATTACTGTCCTGTGCACATGGCATCACAGCACACTGGATTCTTACAGGGCAGCCATTAGTAGAATGGACAGATTTCCATCTGCTAATCTACAGCCAATCCTTTAATGCATGTGCTGTTTTACACACAGTATATGAGACTTTAGTTTAATGAAACCCTGTTCTACTGAAACACAAGGTATTCATACCTTTAGGGTCGGTTTACACTATAGAAACGCAGTCTAGATGTGTTACGGACACGTTCCAGTGCGGTTTTGATGCTTTCCATTTCATTTTTTTCCCCCTCTCATCCCCTCTCTTTTTCTTCAATTTAAATAGGGACATGTGCGTTCCAGTGCATTTTACCATGTTCCAGTACAGTTCTGTGCAGGAAAAATGTAGCCTGGTCTACTTTCTTATCTTCATCCGGAACGCACTGGAACTGCAAGCACTGATGTGAACTATGACAATCATATAACCTACTTTCTGTGTGTTTTGGATGCAGGAAAAAAAAAAAAAAAAAAAAAGCACACTGAAAAAAATAAATAAATAAATAAAAAAAAAAAAAAATGCATGTAGTATGAACTGGCCCTTAATCCTAACAAAAAGATGGGCACAGAAACATAAAATAAATTGCCTATCTATTGTGACTGCCTATTTTACTAAATTTCTAAGAAAAAAACCCAAACTGTGCTGTCTGAGTCACAATCAAGATAGCAGATAGTTCATAGGAACATTTAAGAAAACTGTGAAATCGGTAAACATAGAAGTTTTTATGGTACTCTACAGAAAATGTTAGTTGATGGCTTCAATAATTTTTAGAAATAAAATGGCACCTGAAAACATTGTTGTGCGATTTATTATTTTAGCGAAGCATTTTGAAATAGAGGGCAGAATGGCGGCGATTCAAAACACCATAGTGTGAATGGGGCTTTATACTTGCCTAACATTTTGCAGGTACATAGTTGGAAAGGCTGAATAAAGACACTGGTCTATCCAGGTGTGTGTCTACCATTTTCAATATCCCTTGTCATTGTGTTCACCAAAACTCAATTAAAAGGCTTTTGAATTTACACTCCCAGCTGACACCCCCAACTGTGGAAGGGGATTTCACATCCTTCTAACAGTAAAGAACCCTTGCGCAGTTTAAAGTGAAACTTTACCCTGAAAATTAAGTCCTGATCCATCAATTCATGAGGGCCCCTTTTGCAGGTATAACTACAGTATGTAAAAACATTAAAAATAAGTGCCTATACTGTTTAAAATCTAGTAAGACATTGCTTAATGCCCCGTACAAAACGATAAAAAAAATCATCCGAAGAATTTCACGGAACCACTGATCGAACGATTTTCTCTTTGTTGACGAGCAGGAGGTTTTAACCGATAACGATCTTGTGAACGAAAAAATCCGGTTGCACAACAGTGAAAAAAAATTGTCATTTCACATACGAACAACCGATTTTCTATGTGGTGGTATGACGGTCGTAGGAAAAAAAAAAAAAAATCAAGCGCTATCACGCATGAGCGGAAACAGAAGATGACCCGGATGTTTATGTCCAAGGAATCTTCATAAACACGAATGAAAAATCCAAATATTAAAAGTAGATTGGCCCAATGAGATAATGAAACCAGAAATATGCACATTATAAATGTTATGTATCACCATTTATGTATGTATGTAATAAACTATATTATACTCATTGCTGTTAATTGTTGTGTATATCACTCTGGCTGGAAGGGCGTGGCTACAAGGTCACACGCACACTGCATCACTTCCACTTGTACGGAAGATGTCAACACTACGTATTACCCGACAAATGATTTTTTTTAGATTGATGTGGGCCACGATTTCGACCAAATGAACGCCTCTTGGCTGTAAGTGAGTCACTAGAAGCCAATCTGCTGAAGGACTCAAGATTTACTGCTGCGGAGGGAAGGGGGGGGATAAGAGGAATGAGATTGTGCCCTGGACGGAAAGATTTGGGAGGGAGAAAAGAAAAGCAGGAGAGGCGACAGGATAATTTCTGCTGCCAGGTAGACACAAAAGAGTTAAACTAGATAGATGTGTTCTAACTTCTCTTCCTGATATTCTTTCCTTTCTCAGTGGCCAGCAGCAACACTATGAACTTCAGCACACTGCAAAGCTTCTGCTTTCTCTTTCCCTCTAGCCAAGCTATACAAATCAAGGCTGGAAGTACACTTATTTTAATTACAGAAAGTGACATATCATTTTTGAGATGGAGAGGGGGAGAGTTCTTGGTAAGGAAAAGACTACTCGGGGCTTTAAGGAGATGGCAAGAAGAAACAGGAGTCATGCTGGAGACAATTTACAACACACACTAATTTTAGTAGCAAAAGTATTAATGTGGAATGTATATTCTTTTGTTAAAAGAACATTAATTGTTATCAAACTGTTATGAGTAAAAGTTCCATTTTAAGACTGAACTGCTTCTAGTCCAAATTATTTGGTTGCATGTCTTCTTTAGAGACTGAAGATTAAAATGGTTTTCTTCACTGATACAGTCACAATTTAAACATTTGTATATATTGTGATCATATTCCCTCTTAAGTGGCTCTTTTCATATCACTAGAACTGGAGTAGAAGATATATCTTCTTTTAGAGACTCAAGTTTCAATGACAGCTGTCCACAGCGCAACTTGCATTACTTTGGGGGAAATTTCCCCAATGGCGTCACAAAAATCCATTAAACCTAACAGAGGGTGATAAAACATGGTTTTACTGCAACCAATTTAAATTCTCTGATGAATACGGGTTGATCCTCCCAAATTAACATGGAGCCCAACCAGGGATAATATATATAATGTATAATATAGTTTGTTACATACATAAATGGTGATACATAAACATTTATAATGTGCATATTTCTGGTTTCATTATCTCATTAGGCCAATCTACTTTTAACATTTGGATTTTTCGTTCGTGTTTACGAAGATTCCTTGGACATAAACATCCAGGTCATCTTCTGTTTCCGCTCATGCGTGATAGTGCTTAGATTTTTTTTTTTTTTTTTTTTCTACGACCATCATACCACCACATAGAAAATCGGTTGTGGGCATTACCTCCCTGCCCACTTCAATCTCATGCTCCAGCAGTATCTCTTTTCCTAATCCTAATCCTCCTACTCCTAGCCTCTTTTCACCCTCAACTCTTTTATCACTTACTTCTATCTCCCCTTCCACTCTCCCTTGCCGTTACCCCTTTAACGCCATCTATACCTCATGCAGAAGTTCCCTCTCCCCAATACCACCAACCCTCCACTACCTCTGATGTTACATTGACCCTCTCACTCACTGGACCTAGACTGACCTATACTCTGGCTAGTCTTTACGTCTTTCCTTATTCATTTCCCACTTCTTCCCCTTGATGCATATTGAAAAATTGGAAAGGAAGAGAAGTATCAGACAATGGAATGTCTTGCACAAAACAGTGACCTTTGTTTCTATATTTTATAGATTGAATGAAGTGGACAAGAGTTTTAAATGCAAAAAAAAAAAAAAAAAAAAAAAAAAAAAAAAAAAAACTTTGTTGGTTGATGTATGCTTTGTGTGATTTCGTCTATGTAACCTCATGAATTTGTAACATTATGCTTGCCTGTACCCCTCTCAATTTTGCATGAAGTTGTAAATAAAGAATTTAAAAAACAAAAAACCCAGAACACGAAAAAACAAATAAACACACTGACAAAAGGTTCTCGTTCTTTCCCAGTCTATTTAAAAGAAAAAAAAAAAATAATAATTTGGCTGGAATTACACTTCAAAACATTCTCATTTTAAATCCAGTGTGCTCTGTCAAAGGAAAGTTCAGGCTATATTGTCCAAAACGTTTTATACAACTAATAATTTTGGACCTACTGTTTATTGATCATATTTGTACGCCACTAACATTGTATATAGCTTATAAACATAGTACACAAAGCCAACAATACATGGTCAAAATGAGATTACAATCAAACGTCCATCACAAGAAACAAAAACAATACTACACACTCTTAGAGAAATATTTTTAAGCATATACCACGCTGTCAAGCATGTACCAGCCTGTAGAACCAATCACAGTTCTGGATATCAAAGCAGATTTGTGTTCTAAATAGTTAAAAGCTGGACAGCAACACTTCACAACTAATTAGATAACGCTTTTATTTTTACTCTGACAGGACAGTATGCAGTCCTACACCTTGAAGAATCTACATAGAATTAGCTGGTGTGTTCTGATTTAAATAGACATCATTAATGTGGCTTTTTCAAGATCATGGCTTACTTAAAGCTGACCAGATTTCACATTTAACAATGTTTGGAGCAATTCTTATGGATGATATTTCTATTTTCATTCTAAAGAAGTTATGCCAACAACACAATCCAACAATAATGCAGAAAAAGAACTGCTGCTTTCAATAGCACAAATAAAATACATGTCTAAGCGTACATACTGTATGGCATCCAAGGATACTACAATGTTCATTTTACGGCGAACAGAAATGGAGCCGAATGCCTCACCTTCTCACTATTACACTGTGAATGAACATTCTGCATCTGAGAACTGTGCAAAGACTGAATGGTGTCAATTTGTTTTTTCTGTTTAGCCAACATGTCTTCATACTCATTCTTTTTCATTTCCACGGCTCCTCTTTCTGCTGCTGCTCGTCGTACTCTGCCCTCCAGTTCCATCACACGATTCTTAAAAACACATTATTAGAAGAGAGTTACATTTCTAAAGATAAATAAATTACTATCATATCAGTGGTAAAGACAATGCATATTTACTATGAAAAAATTTAAAATAATTATATGTAAACTCAGCCATTAAAATCTCATAAGCATTAAAGCTAAACGCTACACTATTCCATCTTCAATCACCCCGACCCCCTACAGGACCACCTTCTCCCTTTAAGTCCCCCCCTCCCCCAAAGCCATGTTCATTTTTTTTTACCTTTTTTAGGTTTCTTCTGGCAAGACATTGGACAAGCTGGTTCCTTGTATTCTTCAGTCTTCTCCAGTGGATGGCCCTGGATGATGCAGAGAGCAGCACTGGCTCTGTTCTGTGCATCAATATACTGTAAATACAGGTTGCCAAGTTCAGGAAGGGGGGCCATGACACCCTGCACTCATCTTTCCTCAGTCTTCTGGGTTGAGCGACGCTGGCTGTCATTTACCGGGAAGACTGGAGACATCTTGTGGCAAAGGGAAAAAAAAAAAAATGGGGATAGCTCTGGATTGTAGGCGAATACTGCAGCCAGAGCTACTATTTATTGGATTTTAAAATCGCCAGGGGAACTTTAAAAATATTGAAAATTACTTATGAATCTACATTACCATGTTGAATCTCATCTCCACTTTAGTTTATTCTTTAAAAGATCAGATTTTATTAAAATATTACCTGTTGGTCCACCATGAAGGTTGTTGATCAGGCACTTTCTATTATTGGGCGACACTGTGTTCCTGTCTCCCAATTGCACCCCTGCATTGTCACACTGGTTGTTTTACCACACATTAAATTAGGCTTGGCCCACTAGTGTTACCATCAGGAAACCTACTCTGAGAAATCCCATGCAGCAATGGCTGGAATGCATGTGGACAGGGGCTGCAAAATGGCTGAAGGAAATCAGCTGCATTGGAATAAGTGTAAGGGTAAAACATACACACATACAATATCTCCTGAAAGTGCAGCAAGATCTAGACATGAACAGCTAAAAGCTCCTTTAACACAACTATTATGGAAGTAGTCTACAAGTCCTCTAAGTGTTAGTGGGTACCATCATTTAATTATATGTGTTTTTCAGGTATGTAGCCATATGGGCAATGTGCTCTCCAAATGGTGGTTCTGTCCAAAATGGATATCTTTTTGGTACAGAATCTTAAGTCTTATCCAAACTGTTCCCTGTCACTATTCTAAAAGATCTTAGACGACCTTTTACATCTCTAAATTCCCCAACAAAAGCTTACCACCTTCCTTTTTATAGAGGGTAAATAGACTATTGCCAGAAGATGGAAGAAACCTATCATGTCCATACAAAAGTTAGAACACATGAATATGCTTCTTGTTAATGAGAAGCTGTATAGTATCAACAAAGTACAACTAGAATATCTCAAAGTCTGGGGACCATGGCTTTGATATGCACTTCCCATCTTGGATATATCTAGCCTATAATGGTTTTATTTTTCCTTTTGTTTCTGACCCTTGGAGTCAGATAGAATCTTTTCCTTCTTCCTCCCCTTTTGTGCTTTTATTCACCACTCTCCTGCCCCCCCCCCCCCCCCCCCCCCCCCCCCCCCCCCCCCCCCCCCCGCTTTTCCTTCCCTTTCTCCTATTGCCACCTTGGGCCTCTACAATTTATATTTAATTCTGCATGCGGGTCATATACATGGGTAATTTTTTTGGAGTGTACTGAAGGTTTCGCATTATTTAACTACCCGCGCTAGTTTCTCATAACCCTGTACGAAAATGTTGCTTTGTGTATTACCCTTCTGAATAGGTGCTCGGTTAGGTAAATTTAGTTCTGGGCTCGCTGTAATCAGAGTAGCTGTGTGCAGTGGTTTTGGTCTGTTCAGTGTTTCACTGGCTGCAGAGTTGACTGCTTCCCCATCTGTCTGGAAATGTTCTGGAAGATAGTGGGTAGGAATAGTCTAATCAGCAGAAAAAAAATATGTATGCAGCCCTGGCCAATCCCTGAGGAGAGGTGCCCAGATGGTGGCTGGGTGTGTGTATAAATACTCAGACCTGGAACAGGTGGTGTCTTGTCCCTGAGGAGATAACAGCCTGGGGGGAGGAGGGGGTTGTTTGCCCCATGGGCAAGCTTGCCATGTTTCCGCTGTTCAAAGAGGTCCCAGCTAAGCCGAGTGCCTATTCTGCCAAAAGTTGCTGGAGCTGACTAAGGAGCTATTCATTTGGCAACCTAGTGTGGTATCAATGAAAAGTGTCTGCAAAATATTGGAAGGAGGCAAACAAGAACTGGTTGGTGCGAGAGATCCTTTAAGCTGCTGCTGCCAGCCATCTTTTGCTAGTCAGTTTTGTTCAAATGGGACATGGTGTCTGGTGTTTCCGAAAAGCTTAGTCCCCCAATTGCTTGTGCAAAAACTCTGCTCAGATCTTTAGAAGGAAGTTTAGCATACTCAAGTTGCTGTTATAAAAAACTCAGTTCTCCATTTGTTTGTGCAAAGACTTAGATCTTAAGAGGAACATTAGTGTCCTCAAGTTGCTGCTAAAAGTTACTGGAGTAATCTACAAGTTCTACAATAAACCATCAGAAAAACAAAGCCTGTAGACTGTTCATTGAGCCAAAAAGAGTGACTCTGTGCCTGGGGCAATCATGGAAAGACTCCAGGGACCTTAAAACTTTGGGCTCCAGCGGAAGTGAGCACTAAATTTGTATTTCCTTGAAAAATGTAATAACAAATGTATCTATTTCAGTATTTGTAAGTATGGTATTAAAAAATAAAAAACAAACAAAAACAAACAAACGCTGTAGCACCAAATGTCATACACCAATATTAAACTGTAAATAAGTATAAAACATATATAAGATGTAGGGGTGCTGGCATTCAAAACCATCGTGTGACCACTTGGTTATGGTTTTTAAGGTGGTTAGCACTGTTTAGTTCTTAAAAAAAAAAAAAAAAAAAAAAAAGGTATAGAAAATATAAACATTCCACTGGTTCTCAGGAAAAAAAAAAAAAAAAAAATTAAAAATCCATATTTATCATAGGTTAACTTTTTAGAAAATGTCTCTGAACTGAATATTTAAAATTGTAGCAAATACAAAAAAAAAAAAATAAGGATTCATGTACTTTTGAGGGTGGGTAACTGAGCAATTAGAAAGAATGGGATTCTGCATGTTGAACAGAGATAGGAAGGCCCGGAATGGAGAAAAACAAAAACCAGGAAAAATTGGAAAGAGTGAAAAAAAAAAAAAAAAAAAAAAAAAAAGGGGGAAAGTGTAATATGTTCCTTTACAATGATAAATAATAGATCTGACATGGTATTCAAAGTGTATTAACATAAAGATCCCAATTAGAGTTGAGACTATCTACAGGTGAAACTCAAAAAATTAGAATATCGTGCAAAAGTTCATTTATTTCAGTAATGCAACTTAAAAGCTGAAACTAATATAAGAGATGAACTATCTTGCTTTGCATGTAATGAGTCTAAGTCGTGATTTGTCATAGTTGTGAGGATTATGGCTTACAGCTCATGAAAACCCTAAATCCACAAATCTCAGAAAATGAGAATATTACATGCAATCAATAAAACAAGGATTGTACATAGAACAATATCGGACCTCTGAAAAGTATAAGCATGCATATGTACTCAGTACTTGGTTTTGGCCCATTTTGCAGCAATTACTGCCTCAATGCGGCGTGGCATGGAAGCCTGTGGCACTGCTGAGGTGTTATGGAAGACCAGGATGCTTCAATAGCGGCCTTCAGCTCTTCTGCATTGTTTCGGTCTCATGCCTCTCATCTTTCTCTTGGCAATGCCCCATAGATTTTCTATGGGGTTCAGGTCAGGCGAGTTTGCTGGCCAATCAAGCACAGTAATCCCACGGTCATTGAACCAGGTTTTGGTGCTTTTGGCAGTGTGGGCAGGTGCCAAGTCCTGCTGGAAAATGAAGTCAGCATCCCCATAAAACTCATCTGCGGAAGGAAGCATGAAGTGCTCCAAAAATCTCCTGGTAGACGGCTGCGTTGAACCTGGACTTAATGAAGCACAGTTGACCAACACCAGCAGATGACATGGCTCCCCAAATCAACAGACTGAAAATTTCACACTGGACTTCAAGCATCTTGCAGTGTGTGCGCCTCTCCATTCTTTCTCCATACTCTGGGTCCTTGGCTTCCAAATGAGATGCAAAGTTGCCCTCATCAGAAAAGATGACTTTGGACCACTGAGCAAGAGACAAAGTTGGTTTTTCTTTAGCCCAGGTAAGACTCTTCTGACGTTGTTTGTTGTTCAGGAGCAGCTTGACAAGAGGAATACGACATTTGAAGCCCATGTCCAGGATCCATCTGTGTGTGTGGTGGCTCTTGATGCATTGACTCCAGCCTCAGTCCACTCCTTGTGAAAGTCCCCAACACTTTTGAATGGCCTTTTCCTGACAATCCTCTTCAGGCTGCGGTCATCCCTGCTACTTGTGCACAATTTTCTTCCACATAATAACTTTCTATTAATGTGCTTTGATACAGCACTTTGAGAACATCCAACTTCTTTTGCAATTACCTTTTGAGGCTTTCCCTCCTTATGGAGGGTGTCAGTGATGGTTTTCTGCACAACTGTCAGGTCAGCAGTCTTTCCCATGATTGTGATTCCTACTGAACCAGACTGAGAGACCATATAAAGGCTCAGGAGCCCTTTGCAGGTGTTATGACTTAATTAGCTGATTAGAGTGGGACACTTTGAGCCTAGAATATTGCACCTTTTCACAATATTCTAATTTTCTGAGATTGTAGATTTGGGGTTTTCATGAGCTGTAAGCCATAATCATCACAATTATGACAAATCACAGCTTGAACTATCTTGCGTTGCATGTAATGAGTCTATCTCATTAGTTTCACCTTTTAAGTTGCATTACTGAAATAAATGAACTTTTGCATGATATTCTAATTTTCTGAGTTTCACCTGTAGTCTTAAATTTTTACAAGATAACTCAGCTGAAAACAAGCAACTCCTGGAATACAAAGTA